TAGATCCAAACTAGATAATCGAGTGGCAGGTGGTGTCTTCTCTGCAACTTAAGACATCAAAATCGCCTTCCGCTTACCAGACCACTGCAGTGTTTTCCAGGCGGAGATCACAGCAATCAAAGAAAGCCTTGTTGTAGTGACAAAAAGTGTGCTCACAACAAGGAGCATATATATTTATACGGATAGCCAAGCGGCCTTGAAATCACTCAAGTCTCCAATGGTCTCATCAAAGATAGTGAATGTCTTGATCTATTAGAGGATCTAACATCCTATTTCACGATAAACCTGCAATGGGTTCCAGGGCATAGTGATATCCCTGGTAACTGCGAAGCAGATGAACTAGCCAGAACAGGTACCACTCTACAAATAACCCCTGAAAAATAGGGTGTTTTTATGCCTCTGGCAACTTGCAAGTACTTAATCAGCGAACATGCTATAAATCTAGCTGGGTCTCGGTGGAGACAATCAATAACCTGCTCAACCAGCAGACTAACGTGGCAGGAATGGAAGGTGAGTCACACAAACCGACTACTAAAATTCAAAAGAAATGACATAAGAACTCTGATAGGAGTACTAACAGGTCACTGTCTAATTGGCAGACATGCCAGCAGGCTAGGCGTACCTAACAACGACTATTGTAGAAGCTGTCAGGAGGTAGAAGAAGAGGAGTCTGTAAAACATCTTCTATGCGAATGTTAAGCTCTATACAAGAAAAGAATCGCAACTATGGGTCGTGGGTTCTTTGACGACGTATCAGAAGTTGCTAGTATACAATAAAGTGAGGGAACTTTAGTCCCGGTGGTATCAGAATGGGCCTCCTATAGGCCTAGGTGCGTCGTTAGACAGTCACTCTACCTACCTACCTACCTAACATACTCAAGTCAAAACGTAAATGACAACAAAGCTCACACACAAGTGGCGACTGAACGGAAAATTAACGGATACACTACACTACATTACGGATGCTTGTTTACATTTAAAAATGCTTTTTTCACATGAAAAATTTTACAAAAATTTGTTTTGTTCCTGGAGGAACCCTCGGGTGTTTCATGGTTAATAAGACTGATACAGCGTGTTCTTCTAATAACGAAGCATCTGTGTGCCTATAATGGATTAAGTCGAGTAAAAACTTTCCCTAGCCCCCATATAACTAACATGAAAATTTTCAAACATCCGGTTGACTTTACTCCGAATATATTGGTGATGGTTTGTGAGGTATCTGAATTAAATTCATTTTTTCCGTTAGCAATATGTACTTGTAGTAATGCCAAATATAGATAAAATCGGATCAATAGTACCCCCCATATCTCTATGTGGTACTTCACAAAATGATTTTTGTTACTTTTATAAACCTTGTGACGAAGATATCGGTCAGTGTGTGAGGCATTTACTTATAAAATTGCTTAACATATGCTCCGGAGTATACCTTAACAATGTCGAAGGTTAATGCAAGAAGCCCAGACCTTTCTCTGTCCCCAAAATACCCTGTATAGGGATTTCCAACTTTCCAGCTGACTATAAACAATTTAGGTTGGTCAAAATGTGTGAGATTTTAATGAAGTTAAGTGAACAAGTTTTCTTAAAAATTATAAAATTATAATAATGATTTAGCGCTGAATATGTAAGGATTGCTATAAACCTCATATATAAAATATAATAAATTCCTATCAGGTGTTTGACTTTTTCACATCATCTCAATATATTAAATTTAAGCTCTAAATCACATATATATGTATGTAGATTATGGTGGAGCGAAAGTTTTTTTGTTTGCTTAGCCTGAGGGTAAGATTTGTAGAATACAAAAAAGAAAATGTATGGAAAAAAAATTTTTTTTTTAACATCTACAGGTACTACTCACTTTTAAAGTAAATTTCGAGTTCAAATTTTTGATACGTGTTCTAGGAGCTGGAGAGTCCTCTTTCTGGCCACTTAAAAGTTATCAACTTAAAAAAATGTTTGTGGTCATTATAGGAGTTTAAAAAGGTCTTAAACGACAACAACTTTCCTTAAGAGTTAAAATAAATTTTGAGTGAAAAACCGGCAAATTAGGTAATTTTTATATAAATGTGAAGAGTTTAAACCAAAAACAAAATTGGTTTTTGTCCAAAGGCGCCCCCTCTAGATCCAAAAAGTTTTTTTTTTTATAATCTACTCACCCACCCTAATGTAGATGCTCTTAATATAATTTTAGCTAACACGAAGTAAAATATAACAATAAAACTATGACTAAATTAAATACTATATTTGATTTGATTGGATTTCGTCGAATAATGAAGGTATTTAGCCGGCTTTGTTCCATGCAAGTTGCAGGAGTATAAAAGGGTCGATTACACCTAAACATTGCACTTCTTTACTTGTTATAATTATTTTTCCGAACTAAACTACAACAAATAACTTTACTGATATGTAACACGTCTCTTCTAAACATTACATTCAATATTTTTCCCAGCTCATATGTTATGTACGAACAAGATAATGTAAATCTTATAAGTTGACTTTATAGCTAAGTATAGGGATTCACAATTAGGAATGTGTATTTCTGTGTATGAGCACAATATTTGTTATTTGACTAAATTTATAGCATGCACAACATAATACTGTGCTTGATTTTGTACTGGTATAAAGTCAAGCAGAATAAAGTCAATTATTATATTAGGTATATGTATAATTTGATCGTCACAATTTGAGAGGGTAAAAATATTTTGCTTCTCCCGAACTAAGCTCTTCTTTACTCGTTTATAATAAAACGTTTTTCACACACCGCGATAAATTTTTAAAAATTGACTCTATTTATTAACAGGTGTGTTATGTAACAGATATGTTACCTATTAAAATTGGTTTCTATCATAAATTTTGCTCTTTAAAAGTGTACCCTTAATATGGTATAGTACTTTCAATATTTATTGTATAGTATTTAGTATTAAGTGGTCAATATCACTAATATTAACAAACAAAAATGGAATAAAATAACTTTCGCATCTAAAATTGCTACAATTCGACAACAGAATACCAAATAGAATTGAAATTGCGAGAGATAGACAATAATCTCTACTCTCTATTGCAGATAATTGTACATTAGAAGTATATATTATCGATTATGTTGTTGTTGTTGTTGGAACGGTTACCTAGTCCCCGTTTGGGTGATAAATTCCAGATTCGTTGTCGTCGAGGTCATCTAACGGGAGGCCCAGGAAACGAGTTGTTTCGACGGGGTCGGACCATAGGGAGAAGGGTGTTAGATGAGTGGGGTTTGTTGGGCATGCAAAGAGGTGGTTAGTATCATGCGGAGACTCATTGCACGCAGAACATGTGTTTGGTATGTCGGGGTCTATTCTGGATAAGTAGGAGTTTAACCTGCTACAGTATCCAGAACGAAGTTGCGCGAGGGTCACTCTGGTTTCTCGAAGCCACTCGAGCTCTACGTCTGCTATGGGTGGTGGTTTGATTTGTAATACGCCATTCACTGAGAAGTAGTCGGTGAAGGTGTTGATGGCTCCACTGTGAATGGCGGTCAGTGCCTGTCTGAAGTTCGTTGCGTCCGAAGTTCGGTCGGCATACTGTCTAATGTCGTCGACGTAATCAAGGAAAGACTTCTTGATGTTCCTAGGAGGCAGCTCCGCTACAAGCAGGCGACTACAGGGGTGGTTTCTACGAAAACACCCCAGCAGAAACTGCTTGGAGAGGAGTTCGTTATGTTCCTTAACCGGAAGCATACGGGCCTCACTATGTAGGTGTTCGATTGGAGACATCAAGAGGCATCCCGTGATAGTCCGGAGTGCAGTGTTCTGACAGGTCTGAAGCTTCTTCTTCTGCGTGTCACTGCATCCAGGCGAACCGATTGCCTTGTATGTTGCCAACAACGTTTCTTTGTCTTTTCCCCAAGAGCTGCCGGCAAGCGACTTGAGGATTTTGTTGCGGGCAAGAGCACAGACTGTCCAATGTGACGCCTAAAATTTTAGGGTTATTAACTGTCGGAATTTTTGTGCCATCGATTGAAATTTTTTGGTTCAGTCGCTGTGGATCAGTCAGTGAAGATGGTCGCTGTGGATTTAGAGGGGGAGAGTGTTAGGCTCCTTGCAGAGAAGAAGCGAGAAAGATCGGAGAGGTAGCTGTTTACTTTTAAACACATGCAAATAACAGCCCCATGCGAAATAACAGCCCTTGGCCGGGTAAAATCCGGGTCAATTCCGGTATCGCAGAACCGGCTGTTGTGGGAATTGTCGATTATCAATCATTATTATAGTGGATAGAAAGTCAAAAGCAGGAAACAGCCCAAAAGTGGCTGTCTACATAATTTTGTGGATTTTAGTTTAAACTTTAAATATTCTTTGAAAAATAATCTACCAGGATTCCGCAAATGGGTGTAAATAACTACAAATGTTACAAATCTAGCGATGTAAACTCTCCCCGCTTAACTTACATACATTGTAAGTTTAATGAAATTATTTATGGCTTTTGCCAGATGGTTCTTTGACTTATTTATACACAGTGTTTTTAGGAAAACAAATAAATCAAGAAGAATAATCCAACGCTACACAAAAGGGTTTACCACTTATTTGCTAAAAACCATAATCAATATACTTATACAGAGAAATATTTTGTATTTATATAATTTTATTTAAAAATTATAGCACATTTTCATACATATTGATAATAATGTTTTTCCATACACATATCATAAATGTTTGTATTTCATTATACTTACAAATGAACATATGTGTTCTTATTTATATTTGTTTAATGACTTTCGTGAAACTTAATTTCTTAGTAAAATTTTTACTTTTATATTTTAAATTGCGAATATACAATTACCTAAGAAACTTTTTAAAAACTCTTTGGCAATTTTAATAATAAAAATCTTTACATATTACTTATTCTTAATTCGTTTTTTAGCTCATTGTTTTATATTATTCTTGAGATTTATGTTTAACTTTATATTGTGTTTAATACAATTATTAATTTGTATCTATTAGATAATAGGATCGAAAGAGATAAAAATATTTTTTAGGTATATATGTCAATGTATTAAAAAACACAAAATATTAACATTAGGTTATTTAAACATGCATGAAAATCTGTGGTACTCAATTTAAAACTTGTAATGGGCATTCGTACAATATGTTTTCAAACCAAGTTATGTAATACCACTACGCTTTCTACTCTATATGAGATACACTTGTAGTGCAACATAGCTACGTTGTTTTTAAAACACCGTTGCATTATGTAATTCATTAGTAAAATATGCGATTTGTCATTTCAATGAGTTAATCAGCCTTGATGACAGCTAGTACTTAGCGATGATTAACTGTAGCTAACGTAGTGGTACTCGATTCGTAACAACTTGTTGCAAATTATGTAATCTACTTTTACACGTATGTACACATATATCCATACGTTTGTATATATCGTTATTTTGGGTAAGAACTCGCTTTACAATTTGGCCACAAACTTTCTACTCTTAGGGTTGAATAAATTTAAACACCTTCGATTTCTACATTGTGAGTATTAATATAAAAAATTGTTAAGTTTCGCACTATGTCAGTTATCGAAAATCAATAATAATACATTTAGGAAAATAAATGCATGGGTATAACCTTTGATTTGCATATGTAAAATTACATTTAATAAATATATTTCGATTTCTGCTATTCGGTTGATGGGAAAATAAAAAAAAATGGATTTTAAATATGTATGGTAAAATACCTTCTTACAGTTCATTCGTTTGTTTAATACCACAAGTATACAAAAGTAACAGAATATAAAAGTGATATGGGGCATTTTGGATTCATCTGAAAAAACCCGTATGGCTCAATATGAAATAATTATAGTGGTTTCTTCATCTTATCCAAACTAGTATATCGTATGCGTATATAAACATACATTTAATTATATATAAATATAATTTAATAAGAACATTTATTTAACAAAAGTTGAATCGAAATTTTTTATATTGGCTTAATAGTTGTTACTTTCACTATTATTTTAATTATTAATATTATTATAAAATGTTTGCATGATTCTTAATGAATGAGTTTACGTCTGCTGTTTGGTAATTTAGACGGGAAGACATAAGCAACGATTACCGATACCTTTTTCAATATTACTCTAACTTACAACTATGGCAATGTTTAAAAATACATGTGTGAAAAGCAAGGAAAAATTTTGTATTTTTTCCCATTTTTAAATATTTCCACATAATATTTAAGGGCCATCTGCCCTAATCAATTAGAATTCATTTTTCACGTTAATTCAAATCTGCACATTTAAAACAACAGATCCACATATTTGGGTACTACATGTGTCCCCTTTTCATGTCCGCATAGCTGATTGGATATGCAAATAAACAGTGGTCAAGAAACGGGAATTTGAATACATTAATATTTAACACAACTCGTAATATAAATGCTTTCTAAGTAGTATGTAAGAATCATATTTGGATTTGCTTTTGGAAATTTTCTTTTTGAACCTAGATAAATTAATAATAATCTTACGCCAATTAAAAGATTTTATCAAGAAATGCTAATTCCTACTGGCAGTATACGCTCAATATATTAATGTACAAATATAGTTAAAAAGTTGCGCTGCCGTCAAACTTGAGTAGCTTCGAGTAGTGTGATCAGTGTGTCAAACTATTCCTTCCGTAAATGTTATAAGAAAAACAGGTCTCACATTATTTACTTTAAAGTAAATTATTGTTATGATAAGAATTATAAAAGCAGTTATTCACAAATAAAAATATATACTTAATAAATATGAATGGAAATTTAATGGATTCTTAATATATAAATATCCTAATTATTAATTAACATGGTTCGTCGTCTATTTAATGTTGCATCTTCTTTTTTGTTCTTTGAGTAATTCAAGTTGTTTATATCCATATTTTAGCCATACGACAATTGTACAGTATTTTTAAATATTATATACACATATGTACTAATTGTTTAGATTTTAATCAACTTTGTTTTGTTTCTATAATTAGTCATAATATGGTAAGAATAAACTTCAGTCGGATTTTGGCAAATTTTCGTTTTCTCCTTAAATTGCTTCCAGTAAACAGGTTTGTATGTATAATATATTATAGGCAAATATTTAACAAGTACCAAACCAATATACATTATGTTAGATTATTTTGACCTTGACTTTTTAATGAAGATACATTTCATGCGCATTCTAATTATGTTTTTTTAGTTCGACCACATTAAGAATTGTTCAACTCCTTTGAAAAAAACAAAAATTTGTTAATCTAGGTAATATTAAAAACCCCGAACCTTAGCAGTTATTACTACAAAAAACTGCTGTTTTTTGCATTAAATTAAAATATGGTATCAAGTTCCATAACAAAAAAAGAAAACTATAGAGCTATAGAGTAGTGTTGTCAAACTATAGAAGCGATTATGAAATACGGTTAAGTAAATAGTGAATTATTGTCATTTTCACATGCTTACACACATGTTCCCTCACAATTAGGTATACAAAAACTTTTTTCAAACGAACGATCGAAAAGATCTTAACATTATAATATAATATAATTAACTATTTTAAGTTTATTATCGGATAGGTTAACCAGAATTTATTGGATACACTTTGTAAATAAATTTTTGTGTTAATTTACTAAAAAATGCGTAAAATTACCATTCACGGTGTTTGTTGTTTAAACATACTTGCAGGAGAACCAAAACTATAAGCTGCATTACTTATTTACTGGAAGTTTTCAAGCCATTAGAAAAGTTTTTTAAGCATTTATGTGCACATATGCATGTAGGAATGTTTATGCACCTACTTGGAAGCTTTAAGTGGTCTTATTATATGTCTACATCCCCATATATTCCAAAGTACACACATTTGGGTACATATGAGAATCGCAACCTCTTCATCAACTTCACTTTTATACGAGAATAACACAGCATTTGGTTTCCTCGTTTTATTTTCTGTTAGGATTACTTCAATCGAATAATAGTACACATGTTTTAAAGTGCATAGAGTCATCTACGTTAGCTCATATGACGATACTAATATAAAGAAGTAAGGAAGTTCTAAGTTCGAGTGTAACCGAACAATTTTTACTCTCGTTTTATATCATTAATTTATATTGTTCAAGTCTACCCAATTTGGGTCTTATATAGTACAATTTTTAAGAAAAATTGTCCACTTAATTTCAATAAAACCGATATGAATATTAATAGAATTCACTATATCGCGTATATTGGGGCTAAAGAAAGGTCAGGACTGACTACATTAACTTTTGACATAACTCTTTTGCTAAAATAACGTACATCTTTATGTATAAGTTATGGGAGCTGGGGTAATTCGGTCAGCGATTTTACATATTTTCGGTATCACATATGTTAAGGTATTTTCAGTGTTATATATTCACTTAATGTTCTTACAAATTGACCGATATAGGTATACCGTATAAAGCCAACCGAAATTTGAAATAATTAAATTTGGTAGGCAATTTAGGCATGATGACATATCATTAGATTAGTAAGATAACTCACAGATTGACGCTATCTTTACGATATAAAATCAACCGGTTATTTAAAAATCCTTATATTAGGTATATGGCGGATAGAGGGCGTCACACTGTTATTATGTTAGAAAATATATCATATGATATCTTACATATTGGTATTGATAGTTCGGAAATGTTGATAATATGTATATGGGGTTATTTGGTATATAATCAACCGGGATTTTGAAAATCCTTCTGTTAAGTATGTATGTGGGGCTATGGGAATCAACAACCCGTTTAAACCAGTTTTTAGCACTAAGAGATATTATTACCAGCAAAAGACGTTCTCTAAGTTTTATTATTTATCTTAGACATTGACCGCTATTTTCGGTAAAAAGTCAGTCTTAGGCACTCATGTTTTAATATTCGGTTTCTGGGGCTTAATAAGGTATGATCCGATTTCGACCATACATTCATTGTATACTATTAAAATGGAGGAACTAAATAGATAGAGTTCAAAAACATCGTGAGATATAGGATTTCACCTGAAGCTGGGTGGCGCTACGCCCATTGTCCAATTTGTATATCGGCGCCTATGAAAGACTTTCCTACCACGCTTTTTGTAAAATTTTACTTATAACGTATTTATTTAGCGATTTATCGCACTTTGAGTAGTTTTCAACAAAACCATTACATTGGTATTTCACCCATTTTCACACTGTCAAAGGCTTGAACTCAGCTTAGTTCAGATAGCTATAATAGTTTGTGAGATATGTACAATAAACATATCAGAGAACGGGACCATGCCTACTTTTAAAACATCTTCCTCACACAGTTGCCCCTCACTACTCACAGGGCTCAGGAAAAAAACAACCTTAAGTGAACAAAACTATTGTAGCAACATGTTGCGAGTGTATAAAAGTCTAATTTCTGTTTGAAGCGCTGCTAAAACAACATGTAAAGCGTTGATTTCAAACGTAAAAATATTATATATTGTTAAATGTAGTTTTTAAAAGATTTTGGAAAAGTTAAATATGTCATACATATGCTTTACATATTGGTATATGCAGAAATCTTGGAACGAACATCAAATAATCTTAGATCCGTGATTATTCTAGAAATGTTATATTCTGTTTACACTATCTGATACCGAATTACTATGAGTCATATACTCACATTTTCTTCATGAAATATATATATATATATATATATATATATAGATATCCATATTTTTCACTCCCGAGTGACATAATGCTAATCAAAACATTTTGTTGAAACTCTTCCATATAAACTCAACCAAAGGATCGAAATTTAATACATTGGATATATGAGACAAAAGTTAACCACAGGTCTATGTTTTTACGCCGGCTTCAATCATAGCGCTAATCCACATTATGGTTAAGAAAAGGTGTCCACCTAATTTCATTAGGACACTCTTATACTGATTATATCAGTGTTCGGAATTGCATTCAATTTTGGGACTAAATTAATTACGTTGATTTTTCGGTAAATAATACTATTTTATAATTTTTATGAAGAAAGGGGTACATGATTTATATAACATATGTATACGCTTCGAACGCGACAATTTCAGTAGGTCTCCAACTGAAACAGCTTATACGTTTTTTTAATCACATGCATAATTTATTCACAGTTAAATCTAAGAAGAATTGGATATATTGCTAGTTTCAAAGATTTTACAAATCGTATACAAATTCAATCAACATAAAAAATGGACGTACAAATTTTGAACTTTTTTCTGCATACTCAAGTAGATGCCAACCTTTGAAGGCACTATTTATACATAGTTTGATTCCAATATCTTCATTGGTGGTTGATTTATTTATTGTACAGTAAAATAATCAGATGGAACTTGAAATTGTGTTATATGGGAAGCAGGCGTGGTTGTACTCTGATTTTGTTCATTTTCAAACTGTAACATAAGGATGCAAAGATATTAGTATGCAATTTAGTTAAAATTGGTCGAGTAGTTGCTGAAAATTAAGATTTCATAAACAAGTAAATGGTGCCGTGCCCACTACCGACTTTTTATACTAATTCTCATGCATTCTTTTCATACCATATAAACTCCCTAATGTAGTGAAGTTTTTCTTTAGCGACCTAACGCATTTTAGTGTTTTCAACATTTTATAGCTTAACTTATAACTTAGTTACAGCACTTTGTATTGCCATTTTGTGGGCATCACAGAGGACCGATTTACCTAATCTGCAATTTTCTCAATTTTTTCTTAAGTTATCGTTTTACCGACAAACGAATGACGGGCGGACAGACAGACGTCCTGAATTTAATTCGTTTCGTCATCCTGATTATTTTGACATAAATCATTGAATATCTATCTCCATAAGTTACAAACAACCATTTGGTAAATAAAATGTTATACTCGGTGAAACATGTTACAAGAGAATAAGGACAATTATCAATTTCTGTAACTATAATAATACTTTCACAAGAATAAAATATGTGGCTTCATATGTGGGCTCTTTAGCAAACCTAAAAATTTTCTTTGGTGTCTATGGGGAAGTACAAACAATGATGATGATATTTGGTTGGGTACTTGTCATATACTTATGACTATTTTAATGTAACCTTTTCAGCATCAGGTCTTTTACGTTGGTAAGTATTAAATTAAGCTAATTGTATTAAATGAACTTAAGTCTAATCTTATTGCTAAACTCAGTATCTTTTCCTCTTGCCTAATTATTCTATTTTCTGCAATATTTTCTCACTTTGATCTGTGCAATTGTACGAGTATTTGTTTGTCAGTAACGTTCAGTGTTGGAGCTGACAACAGAGGGAGCCGAAGGGGTATCAATTACAGCTAGCGTAGCGGCCATCGGTAGTCCCGTGCACTCCTACAGCTATACTAAATGGCCATCGGCATCGGTGTATGCCAATGTTGTACCAGTAGCAGCATTGAAAGTACTAAGGTTTGCCGGATCATATGCCCCGCTCGCAGTCATCAAGAGATTACCACTAATACCAGCAGATGTGGGAATATTGAGAATTTGAAGACTACCTGAAGCAGTGGGTACACCCACACCAACTAGGTTCGCACTCAATAGCTGTTGTTGTGGTTTAGATCTATTTGGATCCTTAAGTATACTTTGAGGCTGTTTGCAGGTGCTGCTTGGAATCGTTGACATCATACTGCCGTTACCTGTTATGCTTGTGGTTTGTGTGGAGCATGAATTATTTGAATTATTTATTGGATGCAGTTCGTGAAGCAATTGGATGCTGCTAGTACCAGTCATACTAGTATTGGTTAGTTGAGTAACATCGGGAGGCGGCATGCCTACAACTCCACGCATAATGCCTCTACGAAGGGTACCGCTTCCACCGCCAATCATGGCGTTTCCACTAATTATAGATGCCTGCGTAATTGGTTGAAGATGTGCCATTGGTAATGGAGACGATGCGAAATCCAGTTGAGGAGGATAATCCTGTTGGGTAGAAAAATAAAAAAAACATTACACGTATGTAAATTTTAAATACCCCTTCGATAAGTAAATCATAGACCCTTATATTGGATAAAAAAACATAAAAGGAGAGGGAAGACTATGCTAATTGAAATTACAATAATAATAATTTAAGAAAAATTTCATATTATTTTAGAAAAATATTTCAACATACATATATCTCATTTGAGAATATTTTCAATTGTGTAGCAATACATTCATATATTATATTTATATAATACTCGTACAGTCGTGTCTAGGTATAGTGAACATTGTAAATAGTGAAAGCCACGCTATTGTGAACAGCTAAAATTTTACATTGAGTACTCTAAATAGTGAACGATAGAAAACCTTGCAATAGTGAACAAAAATTTAAAAGCAACTTTGAGTAGTCAGCAACGAAACATACAAAAATGAATGAGAGTTGAAGTCGGGTATTCCCCTAAATTGTACTTTACTGCTGCTGCAAAATCAGGGTCATAGATGTTAGTGTTTGTTTTGTTTTTCGAGTGCAAACTGTTTGTAAATAAACAATTTCGGGCAAACTGTTTGTAAATAAACAATTTCGGGAATAAACAAATAGAGCCGTAATATACTTTCTCTCAAGATAAATAGCGCATCTAATAGGAAAACTCCTAGAAAAGGCGAGTATCCCCGCACGAAGAGGGTATTATAAAAAAGGTTTGTAGAACAACGGAACAAAAACCTATCCAGTTAGTGGGGAGTTACTAAAGAAAAAGGCGATAAAGTTTCAAGCTGATAATAAAGAAATGGAGGGTAATTTCCATGCCAGTTCCGGATGGTTATTTGGATTTAAGTCCCGCTTAGGAATTCAACTGTTAAAAGTATCTGGGCACACGAGCTATTGAGCACTTAACTTAGCAATTTTATTTATGAGCTTAAGCTTTACAAGGACCAAATATAAAACGCATATGAGACCACTTTGTTTCGGAAAATGCTTCCAGATATAACGTATTTAAGGCATAATGAAGAAACAGTTCCGGGAAGAAAAGCAGAAAAGGCTGGAATCACTTTTCTTGCATGCCAAATGCAACTGGTGAGCATAAAGGCAAGCCACTAATAATTGGGCGTGTAAAGAAGCCGCACTCTTTTAAGGCAAAGGACGAACTCATGAATCAAAATGTGATTCGCTAAACTAAGCTTTATTACAAAAAACATGTTATTATTGGCTGTAGGGAAGGATGATATCACTGAGTTTTTAAAAACTTTAACGTTAAAAGATGCAATATCATTTTTAATGCTTACTTGGAATCAGCTGGACGCTAAAGTAATAGCAAAATGCTGAAAGATTTCAATGGAACAGCGCTAACCCAAATCGAGGATGAGGGAGATCATAATCCATTGTGCTTACTTTGATTTAAATTAGTGCGGGAAAAATATAGAGACACACAAAGTTTATTGCAAATTGTTTTTCCAGAGGTATATTATAATGATATTTTGAAATTATGCGCACAGGAAAATGTAATTTTTAATCCAAACACATATGATATCAGCCTTAATATAATTAACAAACTGAATATAGTGAAAACCTTGTGTAGGTACAGACCTTAAAAGAATTAGTTCACTATATCCAGACAGGGCTGTCTTTGTTTTGGTATCATATCTTAAAACCTTCGCAAGGTTGTGTATTCTTAAGAAATAACTCTCAGATAATGAAAGACGAACATTATCAATTCTTCTATTTTCAAACCAGGTCGAATATTGCCTATCAAATGTGTACACAATTTTTCTTACTAGTCTGTTTTCCTACAGAAATTGTCTATTATTACATAATTTGCTTCGCCTAAATAGCGATTGGTGCCTGGATAGTTTACAAAGAGTTTATCAATAAATATTAGCATTTCTAGTAACAGAGTCCACGAATTTTCTTTATTATTGTGATACTCTATAGCAGCTAAGTGCAACGATGTTACAATTTTGCGTAAGTATTGGGCGCGCTGCGTTAATAAGACTGCAGAGAGTATCTTATATGTACAAATATTTTAAAATTTGTATCAGGAAAGAGTTGATTTACACATATACCTACATATGTATATGTTTAGAATGCGAAAATAAATAGAATACTACAAATAGAAATTCCAACACCTCTAAACAATCGGGTTAGATATAGGGTAATATAGTATACATATAAAAATGACCAGGATGATGAGACGAGTTAAATTCCGAATGTCTGTCCGTCCGTCCGTCTGGTACTCGTATTTGTTTACAAAAAAGAGAGCACGAGTTCGTAGATGGGCGTAATCGGACCACTGCCACGTTCACAATACGCCATTAATCGAAAACCTATAAAATGTCATAACTAAACACTAAATTAAGGTATAAACCTATAATTTGGTACAGAAAATTGCTGTACCAAGGCACCTGTGGTCCTTAAAAATTGGGGGTGGACACACCTTCTAATAGGTTTAATGTACATGTCGCCTAAGCCACTAAAGCTACAGTAACCAAATTCGCTTAGGACAAATCATATAAGATCCCCTAACAACATTGTAAAAATGGATGAAATCGGATTATATCCCCGCCCTCTCCCCATATAACCGTTTTGTTAAAAACTAACATCATTAAATAAATACGCCAGATACATTAAATTTCACACCCGAGATTGTACGGGAGGGCTTTAAAAGAGCCGGGCACAAATGATGCAGTTGAGGTATCTCAAGTTTAAAAATTATATAAATCGGACCATAACTGCTTAATCCCCCACATTCCGAATATGTGGACCCAGTACGTTCGGTCAATTTGTGAAATATTTTTTTGAAATTCGTGGAAATATACCTTATATATAGATTATCGAACTTCCAGTTGATTTTACCCCATATAAATGATATTCAGAATTTTAAAACTTCCGGCTGACTTTGTTCCATATATGTGTATGTTTATTTATAAATTTGCTTGAAAATAAGTTCTCAAGTATACATGAACAATGTAAAAAAGTAATGCAGCCAATCCAGACCTCTTCTGCCCCCAATATACCCTATATAACGATTTCCTATTTTCCACCTGGTCAAAATGTGTGATATTTTAATAAAATTAATTGAACACGTTTTCTTCAAAGTTACAAAATTATATTAATGTTTTGGCGCTCAATATAGATGAAATTGGTCTTGGTTTAAACCTCATATTCCTAATATATTGCATTTCGTTCCTTTGGTTGACATCAATTCAATTATTGTATTTATTCTCTTCGGTTGAGTGTATATCTCATATACCTATATCATATAGATCTCCATTGTGGATGATTTAAGTATAAATGTCGCTGACGGGAAATAAAATATAGTAATAAATCTAAGTGAGTCTATGACCTTCAAAATATGTTAATATGACACCAAATTTGATTGTAATCTTTTCACGATTTCGTCGAACAACGAAAGTGGACCCTTTGGGTACATTTTTATATATATTATTATATATTTTTTTTGTTCACTAACGGTTGTTTGTATCACCTTAAACTAATCGCTGAAATCCGGGTGACTGTCTGCCCGTCCATCTGTCCATTTGTGCAAGCTGTAACTTAAACAAAAATTTGATCTATTAGTGAAACTTGGTACTACAACCATGCCTGCTTCCCATATAACACAATTTGAAATTCCCTTTAATTCTTTCACTTTCCAGTATACAAATCAAGAAGCAATGAATATAACGGGATGAAACTTTGCACGAATAGTGCCATCTTGTGACCAAAAATAGTCCAAATCGAACTAAAACTATTCAAGCCTTTAGATACCAAATATGTGGACCCCAGCTCCTATTGCGAACTCTTTATCGAAAATATCGGCCGATCTCTGAGATATATTATAGATATATAATTTGGAGAGAAAGCTTTACGTATTACAGATAGATTGAAAATGGATTGAATCAAATCAATAATTCCCTTACTGTCCACATACCAAATACTAAGGTAACGCTTTGTATTTGTTCGAATCAGATAGGCGTGCAGTATTTGGAAAATTTGGAAACAGCGGCTAGGAAGTTTTTCCTTTGCCACATTATGGCTCAGACCTCCCTTTTTTGATTATCATTTGTTTCGGTCGATGCAGCACGCCCTCACTGGAATACACTTGATTTATTCATGATTCAGTTCTTTTGGGATGAAATCCTCAAATTGTCAATCTGAATAGCTTCAGATGGGCAATACTTTGAATAATTCTATTGTACGTGTTTTTGTTTTTTAAATAAACGTTCAAATTTTGATTAAAAAACCGCACGAATATTGTTATAGACCCATATTATTGTAATTTGTTTATTAAAATATAACCACAAAATTCATTCGTCATTTCTAACGTTTGTTTAACTAGCAATAGACATTATATCATCTGATACACTTAAGCTTTGCATTCAGCACAAGTACTTGTATGTATAATGGTATGATAATTATGCCTATGATTTGAATTCATTTTTGAGGAGTCTACGTATCATGTACAAGTGTGTACAAGTAGAAACTTAACATATATGTTCGTTCATGTAAGAAAAAAGTGCCGTTATTATACCTACAGGGTGTATTAAGTTTGCCACGAAGTTTGAAATATCCAAAAGAAAACGTCAGAGATCCTATAAAGTATATACATATATAAATGATCAGCGTGTCGAGCTGAGTCGATTTAGCCATGTCCGTCTGCCTCTCAGTATATACGCGAACTAGTCCCTGAGTTTTCTCACCAAAAAGCTGCTCGGAACCGAATATATCGGACAACTATAACATATACCTGCCATACAAACTGACTGATCAAACTAATTAGAAAAGGTTTCTTCACGAAATCTCCACAGATTCTTATTTAAGTGCATCTTTGTGCCTTAAATGAATAAAATCGGGTGAGAAGTTGCCCTAATACTTATATAACTGATATTCAAAACTTCGAAACATCAGGTTGACTTTACTCCTTATATTTACTACATACATTGGTGATGGTAAGTGAGATACCTTAGTGAAACTCAGAGAGCATCTTTTTCTGTTAATAATATGTCGTAAAACCAAAAACAGATAACACTATCTTCCATATATTATATGTACATAATACGTAACACAAGTTGTAAGAGTATGAATTGTTCGGTTACACCCGAACTTAGCCCCTCCTAACTTGTTAAAGGATTCATTTGCAAGAACACTTGAGAAGTACTTTCTTACTACAAATAGAATTCTGACTAACAATGGTACAATTGTAGCTACATCCGAATCAAAATACGTATTTTTTATATTGACAGTTTGATGTTATTTAACGTTGAATTACAATGTTGTCTTCGATTTTATTGCAGAAATATTCAACGCCTTGTTCGTTGATAATTAGTGTTTAGTGTTTAGCAATTGTAAATAAAATAAATCAACACCAATTAATGCTGCCATTGCTCTCATATAAGCTACTAGATACCATTGTTTAGGCATATTCACTGGACTTACCAAAGACGTGTCCTGAATCAATGTATAATATTAATGAACCAAGATTCATCAACAAAAATATATGAGAAATGTAATGTAAAGACGTTTGTTTCAAGAATTTCCATAATTCATCATGCGTCATCAAATGACTCCGTCAGTGGACCCCCATTTTCCACTTGATCATCGAATTTGAATGTGAAGAAGTAATCCACCGCTCAATTTTTTTAATTTTAATTTTAACAACATTTTTGTTTTAATTGAAAATTTTTACTACTTTTAGTTACAAAATTAATAATTAGAAAACTATTGGTGAGTCGAAAAGGACTTAAAATATTTAGCTCCTTTCGAAGGGAATGTAAAAATATTACCATCCTTCATTGAGGCTCTTGACAGAGTACAAAGGGACTATGTAGGACGGAAAGAAATAGTTTTTAGGGTGATCTATGCCTTAAAAATTGATGGTTCAGCAACAAATTTTTGGCGAAAACCCCATCTCAAGATTGGGCAACTTGTAAAGCTAAACTAAGGCAGCATTACAGACCCACAAAAGATCAAATGGTGATCACGAAAGAAATTTCGCTACTGAGAGTAAACCGTATAGCGGAATCAAGTAAAAGAGTAAACGAAATCGTAGATGGTATAAAAGAGTATAGTGCATTACGCGAAAATGGTGACACAATGAAAAAAAATTTTCCGGGGATGCTAATTCAGCGAAGGAAGCAATTAGCATCAGGGACATTTGCATATACAAGTACAGTGCAATCAGTGACATCATTGACAGAAATGACCAATGAAATGTATAAATTTATTGGATTGGATTAAGGTAATCTAAATCCTCATCTAAAAATAGAGGGAAAGAATTTTAAAGTTAATACCAGAAATAATGGTGTTAACGGTAAACATTTACATTCGGGACAAAGAAATACTGTGTATCAAAACAGATCAGTTTCAGGGCAATATCGTCCACAACAAAATCAAAGTTTTTCAGGATGATATCGTCCAGAAACCCAAAATTTCTCTGGACATCAGATCGTCCACAATCTGGATAACGTCAAATAAATTTGTATGGACAGCAATCCAATAAATAAAGATAGCCATCGGGACCAAGGCCTCCAAATCAAAAACAATATAATTACTCGAGATAGCAAAGAAGATTGGCAAATAATAGACAACATTTACGAAAAAGGCAACCAGAGCCCATGGACGTGGACACAATGAGAACAAGAATCAAAAACGAATGAGGAGTTTAATTACAACTTAGCCTCGGAATCTTGGGAAAGTAAAATTAATTTAATATTAAAATTTTTTGAGAAACAGTTTTATGCTTTGATCTACTCAGGCTCAACCATAAGTAAGCAAAATGAAAAAATATAGCATAATCTGAAAAATTTAAATTACCGGTGCTTGAAAGTGAAAGCACTTGGTGAATACTTTAAACGAAATAATTAACAATCACAAGTGCAAAAGTGCATTTGAAAAAAAACAGTAACGGATCAACAAAAAAATTCAAGAATATATAGAATACCTTCCAAACATGAAAAGGTAGTAAGAAGACAAATTTGTGATTTAGAAGAGCAAGAAATAATTAGGAAAAGTCACAGTAGATATAGCTCACCAATCTTAATAGTACCAAAAAAGATAGATAATTCAGGAATTCAGAAATTCATGCTTGTATTTGATGATTAAAGGAGATTAAATCAATTAACTGTCGACAACAAGTATCCTCTACCAAACATCGAAGGAATCAGTAGTACACAGTACTTTAGCACAACAGATTTAGCCTAAGATTACCACCAAATTTTAATGGCAGAAAGGGACATCGAGGAAACAGTTTTTGTTACTCCGGCTGGACTATATGAATATGTTCGAATGCCTTTCGGGTTAAAAATGCCCCAGCTAAGTTTCAAAAATTTATGAACGAGATATTGAGAGAATATATAAATAAAATATGTGTCATATACTTCTTCAACTTCATTAGAAGAGTATATAATATAAGCTCATTGCGAAAAATATTTTTTAAATTACAAGAAGACCAATTGAAAATACAGGCAGTTTTCTTCAAAGAGAAACTAAAGTTTAAGGACACATATTATAAAAAGAAGACATCAAGCCTAATCCAGATAAAATTGTAGCAATTCACAAACGAACAATACCAAAAACTGAGAAACAATTAAAATGATTTTTGGGAACAACAGGATATTACCGAAAATTCTGAAAGATTATTCAAAAATAGCTTATCCCATGATAAAATATTTAGAAAAAGGCAAAAAAATAAATGCCAAAGACTCACAATATATTGAAAGCTTTGAGAACATCAAGCACTCATTTCATATCACCCAATTCTAAAATTCACCAGAGTATGATAAAAAATTTAGTATCACAACTGATACTAGTGACTATGCCATTAGAGCAGTACTTTCACAGAAAGGTCAACCAATGTGTTACCGTTCAAGAACACTAAATAATCACGAGCAAAAATACTCGACTACAGACAAAGAATTTTTAGCAGTAATTTTTTCAATCACATATTTTCGACCATATATATATGACAACAAAGTTAAAATAATAACAGATCATTGTCCAATCAAACATCTAGTTAATAAATATAAAGGAAAGGAATTTTCTCAACGCTGTCAGAGGTGGTTATTAAAATTGCAGGAATATAACTTTGAAATAGACTACGTAAATGAAAAAAATTATGTTGTAGCTGATTTCTTGAGTTGAATTGACAACTCAACAATAACAAAAGAAGGTAACGACAATAAATCAAGCATGGAATTGTCAGAAACAATTCATTCAACAGATGAAGAACTGAGCACTTCCTAATTAAAGAAGAAATTGTAAATAAATATAAAGTTAAAATTATATTAACACATAGCCCAAAAGAAAAAAGGAAGCGGAATAGTGGGAATATTTTCGGAAGTGTCTGAAGTAGATTATCATAAAATACAGAAATTACTCATTGAAATGTTTGCACAAGATAGAAGTTTAAAATTTGTAAAATTCACAAAAAAGCCTCTGAAATAGAAGAAGAAGAGGAATTACACAATCAAATATCAATGTACTATACAAAGGAATGTATGCATAGTGGCATGAAATATATAATACATTAAAAGATAAAATATATTATTCGAAATTAAAGGAAGAAATACAATTGATAATTGCCAAAAATGCCAACCAATCAAATACGATAGAAAACCGATAAAACCAAAATTTAATCTAACAGAAACACCAACAAATAAAAATGAGATAATTGATATGACATATTCCATTTCAACAAACAATTATTTGTGACTGCGATTGATAAGTTAACCAAATTTCCAGCAGTTTACAGAATAACAAATAGAAACTGTAAAGCTAAAAAGACAATAATTATGGAACATTTTGCAAAATTCGGTAAACCTAAGAATATGATTATGGATAATAAATTTAAAGCAGAACAATTAATACAATATTTAAATTCCGAAAATATAGAAGTTCATCACACAAAACCAAATAGTCATACAGCAAATGCAGATATTGAGACTTCAAGCAACCTTGTTGGAAAAACTAACAGGAATTGAGGATCCTAATATTTCAACAGAAATGAGAATACAAATTGTTATATGCAACTATAACGATAGGTATCACTCAACTATCAAATGTTCTCCAAAGGACACCAAAGAAAACATTTGTCCATCCATATTACAAGATAGAATAAATATGGTAAAACAAGAAACAATAGCCAAGTTAACTCCATATAGAGAAGAATACATGAAAAACAGAGAAATAGGGCCGATTAAAAACTACAAAAGAGTACGGCATACAGATCAACATATTACCGAATTAATCCACTGCAAAATGTTCATCCGACAAATATAAAAAGATCAATGAAATTGGAAAATAAAGCAAACCCAAACGAGAAAGATGGTGATACATTTAGTTTTAGCACATTTAATAGGGACAATAACACTTCAAAAAAAAATAAAAATTTTATTACATGATTTTACCCCAGTGGGTACGGGGTTTTCCAAGAATAGTAAGTGATGCCTGTCGTAAGAAGCGACTAAAATCCAACGAAGTAATAAATAATAAGATATCTCAATTTTTACTTAAGTTACAGCTTGCACAGACGGACGAACTCGTCCCTTCATTAATATACCGAGTCGTCGATTTTGAGAAACAACGGCTCCAAGTAAATTAAGCGAAATCAAACAAAACAGTCAAATTCGTAATTCGCGATACTCCATTTAGAGAGGGGTTCCACGTCTACTTGCAACCGGAGTTTAGAGTTTGATACATTGAATACCTTTAAAAAAAATTATATGTACTTATTCATTATTTAAGAAGAGTTGTAACTGAAAAATTTACTAAAATTGATCTTCAAAAACATGGTTGCTCTTTAAACCCTTTATAAATTTTTAAAGAAATATTACTCTAACTCTTTTTGTTGTAAAATATTTTTTAAGAATTTTCATTGTCTATTGATGCATAATTATGATTAAAATAACCTTTATTGATGCAATAATTGTGCTTAAACGCTGCTCTATTATAAACTGGTTAAATAGTAAGTTAATTTTAAGATTCTTTAAAATTGTCAATATTAATCAACTAGTAGTAATTAGTAATTTCACGACGAACGTATAATTTAATTAAATTCTACTAAACATAGCATATAATATTTTAAATTCTAATGAACGTCATTGCAACGTCCAATGCCGCGAAATATTTTGATCGATACTTTCCATTTTCAGGTAGAATGGGTTCTGCAGCCTTCTGCAATTAACAATGCTATTTCAGTATCCAATGCAAGCACAGCAACTTTTATAATCCACTAGCCTTCCGAAGTAGGGGTGTTAATATTCCTGCGCTCAACAACTATTTCAAATTGATTTAAAATAGTACTATTACATTCAATATTATTTACATTACATCCACAATAATATATTAACTAGTAAGTCACTCCATTTTTCATCCGACTTGAGGAAAGAGGACGTGATATGGACGAAGAGATGTGAACATCGAACTTTTAATATTATTCATATTCAGTTCCGCACACAACCGCTTCGGAGCCAAGCTGCTACTTTCATGACATTGACTCCGCACCCGTGGCCCAATGACGCTTATATCGCTATGATGTTACAACCTAGCCGTTATATAATTATAGTATTGAATCAGTCTATATAAATGAATATGAAGTTATTAATTTTGATTAATACTAAGGTACCAATAAAGATATTTAACTGTATTTTAATTTTTTTTTAAGACGTAAGCAAAGTCGTAGTATTTTACTTAGTGCTATAATCAATTGTATTCGCAGCGCACGTTATGTAAGGAATTTGTTAAGTAATTTTTTAAACCTTTGGTTACATTATTGATGTTTTAGTAAGGATCCCTAACCTTTTTGAAAATACTCTATATATTATGTTCACCGGAGAGATGAAAGCTTCCCAACGTTGTAGGAACTCAAGTCCGTCAAGTAGCAATCAAATATTTCCTCTTTATAATATTACTATACATATTGTAGATGTACATAATAAATATATAATACTTCACAAACGAAATAAATTACAATTCTCTATTCAAATTGCGCTGTACTGTCGAAAATCAAAAATAAAATAGCTAATTCGCATAAGTAAATAAACTCTTGGCTTGAAATATTATTAAATTAAATATATTTAAAAAAAATGTTGTTTTAGGCCCTAATTAATAAATTATTCAAAACTAAAATTTTTATAGATTTTTGGGGATTCTTATGAGTTAAAGAAAGCGTTTCATCCAAAAATAATATAATATAGAATTCATGCAATGATAGCATTGCTGATCACATGAATTTCATGCAATACATATCATATAATAAAGATTCTACCAGTTTAACAATTGGGTTTGTGAATATCATTATTTTTCCCATATTCTGCAAACTAGAACTTCCCTTCGATTCCAAGGGGTTTAACTGGATTATGACTTGAACCATAATAGTATTTATAAGTGTGGGATGCAAGCAAATTATTCTGAAAGTTCGAACAATATCTAAACAACATACATATGTATACCATTATTTATGGAGAGCAATCAATTCCTCAAAATTATTATATTAATTAATTAAACAAAAACTACTTACCATAGGAGGATATGAAAGATATCTGTCACTATTCATATTATAATATGAACCATCAGGTGGTGGCGCTGGCGAAGGGGACGGAATGTACACGCCTTTGTTTATGAGGATTTGATCATCGTGTGCTCGATGATCTAATATATTTGTTACATTACTGTGGTGACGGGGATGTGGTAATGTTCGAGCATTGACTGTAAATTGAATAATTAAGTATTAATTTATTACAAGGTCGTATGTTTTGAAAAATATAATAAGTAATAATTTCAAATCCAGATGTACATACGCATTAATGTACTTACCTATGTTACTTGGATAGACTATCGGCATAGTACCATCTTTTTGATAACGAGGAGGTGGCATATCGCTGCCTTCTACCAAATATGTCGAAGCTGCCTTTTTTCGTGCCTCATCCTTGAAGAAAATATATTTTCTTTTGTAGTCAAATCAAAAATTTTCAAGTAATATATTTTTTGGTTTCAATAATAGATTTTATTTTGGAGAATCAAAAGTTGTTTTATGTAAAAATTGATTCATGTGAATTACACATTTCTTATTAATGAAATATTGTACATATTAAAGGCATTAAATGTTTTAGGACATATTTATAAATAATTAATGCATGTGTACAAAATTATTCCTTATTCCCCAAGTTGCAAAAAAAAGTCCTCCACTGCTGAAGTAATGTCGGAATTCAGCGCGGAAAAAAGATTACATTGGCATACAGTGGTTTTGTTGCCCTATATAAGATCTATTCTGGATATATTTGGACTCACAATTCATGAGACTATCAATGATTTTGTAAGAAAATAATAATTTATTTTTATAGTTATAAGCTATATATTTAATTATAAGAATATCTATTAATAGAAATAACCAAACTATTGAATTAATAATAAATTTAATATTATAACCACGAACCACATTGAAGCTGTGCATCAGATGGTTCTTGGAATTAAACTCAATCTATTCCGAATATACCAGTTTCTCTAAATACTATGGTATGTTGTCGGTGCTTTAATTTTTCTTCAAATAGTCTAGCAGTTTCAACGTTATCGCGAACAAGAACACAAAGCGTGCCACCCGCACACGGTCCCTTCGTCTTTCCTCGTCGTCCTCTCGCCCATAATAAACCGGTTTGGGTACAAAAGAGTCTGTGTGTAAAAGCCATCTTACAAACATTAAAAAACAGCTGAATTTCTATGCGCTGTGTGTATACATATAATATTTGTCTGTGCAGTACTGTGCTATGCATGTATAACTGAGCCTTTAGCCTCGATTAATTTTATTAAGATTTTTGTATCAATCAAAGAAGTAAATGCATTACATACTTGTATGTTTTGTCAATATTTTTAATCGTTTACACTTACTGTATATTCCACTTGACTGCCATCATTTGAGTATGATTCACTCTTTTCGGAAACACTTGATAATGTTTCACCTGTAACTGTATCGTTATAGGAACTTGGAGCATACATTTCGATTGTTGCTGTTTTGCCTGGTTGGTTGTCATTCTCAGCTGCTTATGTAAAAATAATGATAGTTTGAATAGAAAAAATATTGAATACAGAATTAGTGAAAAATACCTTATCAGGGATAGTTTACAATATCTGGGATGAGTTCTATTTATATGTTTGCTATGCAAAATATCAAATAATTTTTTTTTTTGACAACATAATCAACGATTTAAATTCTTATATGCCTGTTAATTCATTATACTCTCGCAACATGTTGTTACATTAATTAGTTTTGTTCACCTAATGCTTCATCATCATCTGTGGGCTGAAAATAAAGTATGTAAGTGGGCGTGACCGCGGCCTCTAATAGATTTAATTAGCATATCTCACAAACAGTTAGAACTATTTTAACTAAACTTGCTGAAAGGAAGTATTTTAAACTCTTCTTTATGTACTGTCTGTTGATAACCACGCTCACTCATTATACAGCGGTTAGTATACGAATTTCAAACTTGTGGTTGAATTTATAGTGTATCTATCAATCAATATTGGAGCAACTTAATTCTAAAACTGTGTGAAATTGGTCTACGATTTACCCCAAATTCCATATTCTATATATAATTTTTATTATTCTATCACACTTCATTTCGAATATGTCAGTCAGATTTGCTTGAAAACATGTTCTCCATCTGACTTTAAACCGTTTATGTTGGCCAAAATGTATGTTATCCTAAAGAAGTTAAATGGATTTCTTTCTTTAATATACATATTCTGGACAATCAAAATGTACAATAGTTATGAAACTAAGTCTACGAACTATAATACAATAAATAAGGAGAAAATAAGATTCCAAATTTGATTGTTCGGCTTCTTCGGATAATGCATGTTGAATTATTACGCAACATTTTTTAAAATAAACTTTTGCAACACCTAAGTATTTCCCCGCCTTTGATCTTTGCAAATTGCGAGAGTATAAATTGTTCGGTTACATCCGAATTTAGCCTTCCATACTTCTTTAATACAAGTTGTGATCGGTTTCCGATTGAATGTAGATGTATAATATTTATGTTAATAGATGTATTCTACTTATAAATTAGTAGTTTCAAAAAGGTTTTCTGGGATCTATCACGCTGACTTATTCAAGTAAGGCATTTAATTTTAATTTTTTTATGGTCTACCACTATTTCAAGTTTTAATTGTATTATATTTCTTAAAGAGAAATTGGCTTTGAAAGAGCGGTCTTGCTTGAAATTGTTCTTGATAATAATCAAAAATATTGTAAAAAAAAAATAAAAAGTAAAACAAATAAACGAACCTTTCTTGCGTCGATTGTAAACAAAGAACCAAGCGACTAAAGCAACATTGACTACCAAAAATCCAATCGCTGACATTGATATTCCCAATATAACAAGACTGGGAGTACTTGAGTCTTCAGTTAATTCTTTAGTTGATATTTCCAATCCTTCTTAAATCGCATAGAAATTAAAAGCGAAAACAACGCAAACAAACCAAGGAAAGATCACGGTTCCGAATACATAAAAAGCAAAAATACACAATAAAAAGGATAAACAGTAGTAAAAATTAAGAAGATGACTATCGGTATCCCACGCTCGAATTGAAATAAATATAATATTAAAAGAAAAAGTGTACTTAATTATAAGATAGGCGTGTCTTAAACTGCTTTATCATTTCCAGGTCTCTATATTACTACCCATAAGTGTAAATGTATAAGTACATACAAATAATATTTTACAACGAATCGATTTTTATAAACAGAGACATATGACTAGTTTGGTTTTTTATATTTAATCGGTCACACCCTGGATAGTAAAGTTTATTCGTTAAGTATTACAATATATTCATATTATATATTTGTAGGGACTTTCTAGTACTCTGGAAATTTCTTTATGGTAAAAATAAACATACGACGAATCGCTACTAAAGATTATTTTATTTAACAACACATAAATTTCACCATTTGGTTCCGAATGGTTTCTTTCTAGACGATACCTCGAACTAATGTGGTATTGAAAATTAAAATTTTTTTTTGCATCAATGATAAAATACCTCGCTTAAGTCGTTTTTGGTTTCGTTTGTGCAGGCAACATCCGATAATGAAAACATTTAATAAAACTACCGTGACACCTGAAACGACGCCCACTAAAAGAAGTAAACCTGAAGTTCCTCCCAATGGTGTTGAGGTTGTTGTCGGTGGACCTCCTAACGATGAAGCTGGTTGCGAAGGTGGTGGAGCTTCTATTTGATTATTGTTAGTTTCAAGTGACCATGTTTGTACAGATATTGTTGTGGTTGTAGGAAAGATCCAAATGCAGCATTAACATTTGAAGATGGTTAATAAGGAAATATTTTAAAATGTCATTTAAATATTTCTTTCGATAAATTAGTTAATACGTTAATTATACTTTAGTTCTTATCAAAAAATAAAATAACTAGTTTTTTAAGAACAGATTTATGTAATTGACCATTAATGTATTGACCACGATTATATGACTTACTTATGCAATTTTAATATTTAAAAAATTCAAACGTATACAAGTATTATAAATGCGAATAAACCTATCTCTTTTGGCAGGATTCATTGTTTGTAAACAAATTTGAAAGTTTGGTATTTTGGAAAATGCAAAATATATTATATTTTGTTTGTTGAAAATGTTTTTAATTTATGAAAACAAAAAATGCCACGAAAGCATAAATCAAATGTGTACAGAAGTTCGTCATGGGCCCGTGCAGTAAAAGTTGCACGAAATCAAGTATCTTCAGCTCATGGAGAACTGAGCATACAGCAGCAGGGCGACAAAATTTGTTGAGAAACGCCTATTCAGACACATGTAGAAAGGCAAGATAAAAATCTGTTCAAATTCCCGTCAACCTCAGCTATGCTGATACTATAATAGTCTAAGAGCCAGTGGACTGCAGACTATATGACCAAAGTTGTTATTTTGCTTAAAGATTCTCCTATACTTATTGTGTTTCTCTTTGTGAATATAATAGATAAAATAGGAGAAAACTTTTCCTAGCCCCCATATAGCTAATATCAGGATTTTCAAACATCCAGTTGACTTTAGTCCATATACATATATTGGTGATGATATATGGTATATGAGGTACCTTTATAAAAACCTTTAATCTTTAAGCAAAATATCAATTTTGGTGAAATACATACAATCTGAAGTCCACTATCTCTTCGACTATAAGCAAAGTGTAATGGCAGTCATTACAGGTAGCTTTTAAAAAAGCCTTGCCATGCTCACGGTAACGTTGCCTATCGCGAAGGTCAAATGCCTGTAATTTACAAATTTTTTATCCGTCCGGTAACTAACCAGATATTTGTTATACAAAAATATCCTAGAATAATACTCTGTTGAAATATATTTTAACATTAGTCGTAGTAAAAATTTAGAAATAGAAAATAGAAATTTTCAAATACTAATTTTTATAAAAATGTAATGGTCTTTGATACTTATTGAAGGGATTCAATGCGAGCAAAACCGTGGGTAAAGCTAGTATGAATATAAATGTTCACATATATGTGTCTTACCTTTGGTTTGTGCCCGATGTAAGTCGGGTAAATATTTACTGTTACCCAAATCATTGTATGCCATCACCGAAAATAAGTACAGCGTGTTGGTTTTCAAACCACTGAGGGTCAACTTATGGCTATTTGGTAAGCTGTCGATATATTTATATTGTTCTCGGTTCACCTCTCTATATAGGACGGAATGAAAATAAATAAGAATAATTCGTTACTTATCTAGGGCTGTTACATTAAATAAAAAAAGTATGTGTGGCACTCGGGGACTGCCGCGGTAAGGCTATTGTATATTTATTTTTTATGCAGTATTTTTTTTCTTTGATATTAATTCAAGTTTTTTCTTTGATATTAATTTAAGTAACACTTTTTGAGCGTGGTGACCGATAAGAAAACAAATTTTCTGCAAAGAAATGCGAGATTTGTTTCTAAACAATTATTTATATAATCTTCAGATTGAATGGTCCCTTTCGTAATTGAAGTACCTTGTCCAACATGCTTAAACGCAACGTTTACACATCTACTAACTCGCAACCTCATGATTTTTGCACCATTGTATAAAAGATGTTGCAGGTCAGTAGCACGCCTATTAGTACGCCGAAGTTCACTGGTAGCTTGCATGAATGAAGTAACACCAACACCATCTCTGTATGTTCGAAACTGACCGCCGTAGATTGTCGAAAAAGATAGTTCTTTCGCATGTTCATCCATTAAAATGCTGACTGGGCTGTTATATTCACCGGATGATAAACTCAAAATCAAAATCAAATTACATATCCACGTAAGATTTTTATGCATTATTAATTTTTTTAAAATTTTTTTTTTTAATCTTCATTATGTTTGGAAGTGTCTCAAATAAACCCTGGGCCGCCATATTTAATATTTCTTTCAAAATCCTGCCTAAAACCATAAAACAACATGAAGAGTCCAAAAAGCCCCAATCCTACATATGGCTATTTGAGACATCTAAATAAAAAACTTTATAAATTCTCCGCCTTCACTCAAAAGAAAATTAATAAGGTAGAACTGAACCGGTTAACTTATTATAAAAATTAAAAGGGATTTGCTACTTAAATATGATACATTCTAGATAAGATTTTTGTATAAATTGTGCCAAATAGGCTCACTTTATGGTTATTCAATCAAAAAATGTTAACAAAAGGAAATATATTAAGCGTTTGATTATCGAATTTCGCCTACATTTGTGATAATAATAGAATGTATCTATGTATATAGAGTACTCACTCATTTTCTTTCACTGTTTTTCCATGACATTCTTCATTAATAAATGCACTTTGTTTATTCATATTTAAAACACTTTATACACACATTTTACGCGTACTCCCCGAACATGCGTTTGCCTACAAGCATCTTTTCGCGACGATGGCAAAAGCTAAATATCATACCGAACAACTTTTTGACGTTCCTTCTAAAAGAGAAAAGTGTCATTGACAAATATGGCAACATAGTTCTGATATATGCATGCTCATACATAAACATTTCGCATGAATCAATAAGTGCCGCGCTCAAAGCCCGCGCTCAAAGCCCGCGATAAAAGCTATGCAATAGCTTAATAATAATGTTACTAATATTATGACTCCGAATATTGAATAATTTATTTTCATAAATTAAATTTTTATTAAATTCCTAATTTTTATTTGGCATTAAAAAAATTGTCTTGTAAATATTATTATTTTTGATCACCCTGCGTTTCTTCAATTTATGTGTCAAGCTTGAGATATGCGAAATACGATGCGCTTTAAAGTATGCAAATACTGAGCGCATAAGGTTCATTTCCGTTATGGAATTTCTTGGTTGAGTGACCGTGCTCAAAGCCTGCGATAGAAGCTATGCACTACCTTAAAAAGTAATGAGAGTTTAATTAAACCCCTATTGGGGTATGCTTATTATCATTCGAACTTTCTATGGCATTTATTTTTTGAAGATTATCTCTTTCAAATGTTGGCCGCGGCTACGGCTCAGATGGTCCATCCGTTGAGTCCAATTTTCGATTGATCGTTCGAGGTAACTGGCGAATGACACGCGTGATGTTTTGCTCCAAGGCCTGAAACGAAGCGGGATTATCCGCAATGTTCGGGAAGTGGCGCCATCTTGTTGAAACAAAATGTCGGCTAGATCACGAGCTTAAATTTCAGGCATTAAATAACGGTCGCCATTGACGGTCACGTTCACACCGGCATAATTTTTCAAGAAATATTGCCCGATAATTCCACCAGCTCACAAACTACACCAAACCATTGTTTTTGCTGGATGAAATGTTAGCTCTTTAACCTCTATAGGTTGCGCTTCGTCCCAAATGCGGCAATTTCGCTTGTTTGCATACCCATTGAGCCAGAAATTAGTCTTATCGCTGAACAAAATTTGACTCGAAACCTTCAGATCTTCTTGGAAGTTTTCAAGAGCCCATACAGAGAAGCGATGTCGCTTGGGAAGGTCGAGCGGTTTCAGTTTTTGCACAAGCTGTGTTTTTTTTTTGCTTTTAATTTATAATATAATTTTCAATAATGAATGCTAGGTCTCAAGATGGGTGATGGTGTTGCGAGTACTATGCTCAGTAGACCGATTATATTGACCGTAAGTGGAATGAAACGCGCGAAACACATCCTTTACAGAACGTGAAAATTTCTAGTAAAATTGAACGATTTGTAAACGTTGTTCAGGCGTAAGCCTGCCAATAAATGCCAAACAATACTGAATAAAAATAATATGACAGTTTGACATGACTCGCACTTGATTTATCAACAAAGGGCTATTGGAAAAAGTACATTTACTTGGATCACCCGTTATAATTACGCTAGCAAAAACGTTTGTGTTCCCTTTTTGCCCGTGTTGGCGTTGACATATATGGATAAAATGTATTGGTGCAATATTATTTAGTACAACAACTACACTACGCGTTTTCATTGGTCAATATTATTTCTCCTTTGCGCGTCTCTTAGCATAGTCGTATACAGAAATACATTTCGTCGCTGTTCTATATAAGTTGCAAATACAAATATCGGATAATTGGGTATCGTTTACGGCGAATTTGTGGTTGCGTTTTTTTTTCATTTTTATGTTAATTGTGTCTCGTATAACTTAAATAATATTTATTTTTTCTTTTCACTGTGTATGTTATTCTTGAAACATGTATAAAAATACCCCTCAAAACAATCGATCAGTAGGTTTCTTTTTTAAATTCTCAAAAATGGACGTTTTTTTAGGCTGTAACACTAGGTGTTTAAGGGTATACCTCCCTTAAATATTGTGACTGGATATTTATAAAAATAAAAATAATATGTTGTAAACTTCGTTAATTGTCACACTGGGTGTGCTCCTTAAAAATCGAGAAACATATAAAAACACCCAAATATGTATACCTGTCTTGAATATTGTGACTGGATATTTACACAAATAAAACTAATATGTTATAAACTATGTTAATTATGTTTTAACACTAAAAGTAGATATTTTAATTAATGATACTAAGTTACTGAAAGCAAAGTATCGGGTTTTCCAATAGGGATGATATAATGGATAAGTGTCGTTTCGGCCATTTTTAATATGTCATGACCTGTAATTTTTTTTATTGTATTCAGTAATGTTTCCAATTTTATCATGGAAAGATATATGCAAGAACAACGTTTACAAATTATTCAATTTTATTATTAAAATAATCGTTCTCCAATTGCAACTTGTCGTGTGCTTTTTATGGTCGTCCTTGCTATTGGTCGAATTGTTGAAGATTCTAGTGCAAAGAAAATCCACAAATTATTCATGAACCTAAATTGACACTTTGGTGTGGTTTTTGGTCTGGTGAAATCATCGGTCCGTACTTCTATCGAAATGAAGCTGGTGACACTGTTACTGTCAATGGAGAGCGCTATAGATCGATTATAAACAACTTTTTATGGCCGAAATTTGGAAGAAATTAATCTTGACAACATCTGGTTTCAACAAGACAGGGCAACGTACCACACAGTATGTGCAACAACCGAAGTTGTTGCGAGAAAAGTTTGGAGATTCCAAGAAGTTGTGATGTAACACCATTAGACTTGTGAGGTTATTTGAAGTCATTGGTCTTTAGAAATAAACCAGAATCTCTTCAAGCTTTAGAATTCAATATTGAACGTGCTATTCATGACATACGACTTGATTTAGTGGAAAAAGTACTCCGAAATTGGGTTCATGAAATTCGTTCGTTGAAAACCAGTTGGAGGCCATTGTATTCAGAACTTAATTTTATCGATTGTACTTCACATTAAACAAAAAACATTTGAATTTACCTAACAATTAATGAATTTTTTTTTTTAAATCATAACACTCTTAATGAAAAACCATGTGTCAAATGAAGGTCATCTGTTTAGTGTGTTCTATCATATATTGTACTCTGTTGTTGTCTGAATACTTTTATTTCAATTATTGAATTTACTTTTGGTTATGACGGCGGTTACATAATACGTTGTCTTGATTGGTTTGTTTACAGTTTCGCCTGAAAAATATTTTGTATTGTAGTTCTGTACCTGTATCGAACTCTGTAGGAAGCTTTCAATCCTCCGTCAAATCCCGGTGTCCATGCTAAAGAAACACTATCATGTGTGACATTTAATATATTCAAACTAAGTGGCGTATCTGGCTGCGAGGTGATATCCAATCGAATAATTTCCGTAGTTTGGCCCAGTTCATTCGTGGCGACACATTCATAAGCTCCATAATCAGCTGGAGCGACTTTTTCAATTATCAACGTAGATTCATAGGTTAGTGAATCGATTTTCTTTTCTTCAACTTCATACTTATATGTGCGATTCACTTGCAAATCCTTTCCTTCCTGACGCCAGATGAATATTGGTTGAGGAGCAGCTTGAGCCCGACAAGGCAAACGTCCACGTTCGCCAGTTCCACTCGCTGCACGCAACAATGTTGGCGACTTATCAATTTCGGGTGGAACTGCAATCATATCATTATGCACAACAATAGAATAAAACTATGTTTGGAATTTACAATGGAAAATATTATAGGACACTTACATTTAACAATTAGAAGGACATCACGATTTGTGGGATTAGCAACACGATTGTCTGCAATGCACCGAAAGTTACCAACATCCCCCCGGCGTGCGTCTTTTATGTGAAGAAATGAAGTGTTATTCACAAATGAGGTCGTAGTTTTCACTGTCATGTCATAAGCAACTCTCTCCCATTTAATGTGCTCATCGGTTAATGGTTTTCCCTCTACTGTACATGATAGCATTGCATCTTCGCCAGGATTTACTACAACATTTTCGGATATAGCTTTTATGGCAGTACCATCTGAAAACCAAATCAAAAGTTATTGTTCTTTAAAATTTTATTTTGTACAAAATTTAAAGTAAAACATCCATTTTTGACTACCAGGTTTTGTTAACATACATACATATGTGTAAATAACGTAATGAATAAAATAAATTATATACATATTTGAATATTAGGGTACTTGAAATTGTTATAGTTCTGCAGCATGTTGCTGCATAGTATAATAGTTTTGTTTACCTAACGGATGTTTGTATCACCTAAAACTAATCGAGATAAATATAGAGTTATATATATAAATGATCAGGATGACGAAACGAGTTGAACTCCGAGTAGCTGTCTGACTGGCAGTCTGTGCAAGCGAAAACTTGAGTAATTGAGATATCTTGATGAAACTTGTACACATGACGGGTGGTATTGCAGATGGGCGGAGTCGAGACATTGCCACAGCTTCAAAACGCCATTAATCAAAAACCTATAAAGCGCCATAACTAAGCTCCATAATAAGGTACAAGGTATGTTTATTACAACAGATAGCATTAGAGAGGAACATCTATAGTTGAACATTTTTTTAAAACATGGCCGGGTCCCGCCCTCTATTAAGTTTAATGTACATATATCCTAAACCATTTAAGCTATAATAACCCAAAATCTTTTGGCCTTTGTTGGCCTTTCCTGTAAAAATTGGTGAATTTGGATTATAACACTGCCCACTCCTCATATAACGGTTCTGTTAAAAACTACTAAAAGTGCGATAAATCTATAAATAAATTCGCTAGAGACATAAAAGTTTACACCAGAATGGGTACGAAAGAGCTCGATAGGACAAGTTAAATCCAGTTTATTAAAACATTTATTTATCGACCTAACTAATGAAAAATCTGTTCTTTTAAAATTTGTTGACTATCAGGATTAAGGTTCTGAACATGCAGTTTGAAATCCTACAATCTTCAATTATTTGGAACTTAGAAGTGAGATTTTCTTCTTTGGCGGCGGCTAATGTGTCGATATTAGTCTGGAAATCTCACTTCTGGGCTAATTCTGCCTCTAGTCACAGACTCTAGTCCTGAAATCCTGCAATGTGACAATCATGATCGATAAAATTTTTTCATCCTCGCTAAAACACTAAACGAACATTCACTATTTGAAACAGAAACAGGTAAAGACGGGTTTCAAAGTTTAGATGGACGTAATCGCCCGCGCTATTAATAAAAACGTATAAAGTGGTATAACTAAGCCGTAAATTAAGATACAGAACACAAATTTAGCACAACGAATCTAGTTAAGGGCCCCCTAATAAGTTTAATGTATATATCTCTCAAACCAATAATGCTATATCACCCAAATTTCCACACAACAAATATTTTCAACCCTTCTTACGCTAGTGATTGTGTGTGTAAGTGTATTTAAAACTACTAAAAGTGTGATAAATTAATAACTAAATGCGTCGAAGGCATTAAATTTTACACCCAGGATGACACAAAGGGCTTTATAGGAGCCGGTATCAAAATTGGGCGGTGGGCGTGACATCGCCCACTTTTAGATGAAATCACATATCTCGGGATTCAACCAAATTCACTATATAACATTTTGACAATCTTCCCTTGTTACAGTGCCAAAATGGAGGAAATTGGATCACAACCACGCCACCTTCCCATATATCACAATCTTAAATTCCATCTGATTCTTTAAAATTCCAGAATACAAATAAAGCACCAATTGATATATCGGAAGGAAATTTTGCATCAATAGTCCTTCTTAAGCCAATAATGAGTTATCTCCATGGAAATCAAAACTTGTCCTAGCCCCCATATAACTAATCACACAATTTTCAAACATCCGGTTGATTTGACTCCATATATAATATGTTGGTGACGTTATGTGGGGTACCTTAATGAAACTCAGGAAGCATTTTATTCTGTTAATAGTATGTTGTATTGCCAAAAATAGATAAAATAGGGTCAATACTACCCCTATCTCTCATATACCTAACATATGATTTTCAAACTTCTCTTTTGGTCTTATGCCATATGCCATCAGTCAACATGTAAGATATCTTAAGGATATACTATAGTTTAATGCCGAAGATATGTGAATTTAGTTTACGAATTACCCGAACTCCCAAGTACTATATATTGATTTTCGTAATTTTATCAAACCTAGCCGAACATGTCGTTCAATGTGTGAGTTATATATTTATAAAATTGCTTGGAAATATGATCTTAAGCATACCTCAGCAATGTCAAAATTAACTCAATTAGCCTAACTTTTCTTAAAAATTGTACTGGATATGAATGATATTGGTCTAGACGTTGGTCCAAACCTTATATCCCTAAAATAATGAATTGCGTTCACGTTTTCACATCAACTCATTATATTTAATTTAGCTTCATTAGTTCAGGTCATATCCCATATATCTTATTTAAAGATGATTTGAATACAATTTTAATTGACGGGAAGTAAAATATAGTAATAAAACTAAGTAAATCTATGACCTATAATATAACTTTAAAAAATACCAAATTTGATTGTAGTCCATTTACAATTTCATCGAATAATGAATGTTGAATTATTTCGTATTATTATTTTTTTTATATAATATTTTCCTAACACCTGAAGGTTTTTTCCTTGCTTTGATCATTGCAAGTTTCAAGAGTTTTTAATTCACTTTCTTCTTTACTGCAATTTTCATCCACTTCTTCCAGTAGGTCGTTTCCGTTTTTTTTGTGTTTTTGCTGATGGTCAAATCGTCTCGACATGTTCTAAATTCTCTGCAAAAATTTTTCATTATAAATTGCATTCCACTGATCTCGCAGAAACTGCAACTCCACTAGAAAGCTGTCAATATTTCTAAAAGAACTGCATACATATTTTTACGTTTAATGTGATTTTGCGCTCCTTCGTATTTACCGTTAATATTACTACCATTATGGTAGCCTTGTCCACGGCAATCTTCCAAAGGAATGTTGTAATTTTCCAATGTTTTGCTAATTAAAGCGGCAATAGTTTTGTTGGTCAAAATATAAAATATCTTAGCAAAATTAACTGAACGTATAATATCGATAGTATAGTTTAATGTATGTAAATATGGTATGTGAATCCAAATCTATTATACTACATACTATAATTCATCTATATAATGCGTTATTCTAACAAACCTTATGCCGAATATGTCGGTCAGTGTATGAGTTATATATTTATTAAATTGCTTTAAAGTATGTTCTCGCGTACACCTGAGTAATGTCAAAAGTTTATGCAATCAGTCTAGAACTTGTCTGTCCCCAATATGCTCTATTTAGTGATTTTCGACTTCCCGTTTTTAAACCGTTTAGGTTGGTCAAAATGTATGATATTTTAGTGAAATTAAGTAAACAAGCAGTTTTAAAAATTATGTGGTTTAGCGCTTAATATAATATGAATGGAATTGTTTTAGATCTTGGTTCAAACCTCATATCCCTATCATCTGGTTGACTTTTGCACATCATCTCATGGGTGCAACACCCATCGTCCAATTTTGATACCGGCTCCTATAAAGCCCTCTTGTATCATCCTAGGTGTAAAATTTAATGTCTCTGGCGCATTAATTATTCATCGCGCTTTCAGTAGTTTTTAAAAAAAACCTTTATATGGGGAGATGGAAGGGCGATTTCGTCTATTTTCACAATCCTTAGTGTATGTAATTATTGTATATTTAGTGGTTTAGGAGATATGTATATTAAATAATAATGAGTTTTAAAGCCACAAGTGCTCTTTACTACTATCTTAATCTAGTGCTTAGTTATGACATTATATAGGTTTTCGTTTAATGGAGTTTTGTGGAGGTGGCAGTGGTCCGATACCGCCCATCTACGCCAAGGAACACGTGTACAAAGTTTCATTACGATTTCTCAATTTTCATATACTCTGTAGCAACATTTTGCAAGAGTATAAAAATTTGCATAATAATTCAACATAAAGTCTACTAGAATAACTAAAATCAATGTATGTAGCATAAGGAAGCAAGGAATTCGAAGACTGATTTCACACATAATTTCATAACACAAGTATATAAAATTTTATAAGTTCACTTAATTTTAATAAGACATCTTACAACAAAAGCTTGAAATTCTTTTATTAAATATATGGCCCTGAAGTTCATTATATCATTACATACATATTGACCTATATATAAGGTATTAAGTTCGAAAATCTGTATATAAGGTACATAAAAAAAGGTGAGAATAATAATCTAGGGGGTGCTTGGCTTACCGTCGCTAGGAGCGCTAAGGCAGGGGGGTCTGCGGAAGTGCGAGGCGGAATCGCCAGCACTAGCAGAGGAACCTCTCCGAATTTTATGGGGCTACGGGTCCTCGGCGAACGCTAAGAGCCCTGTCAGGAAGCACGTGCCTGGAGCTAAAAGCTGAAGTCTGGTCGTCGGTTGGCTGCCAAAATTTTGGAGCGCTACGGTGTCAAGCAGGCTGATCAGAAATCTGTCACGAGTCCTCAAGGGTTAGGCGCATTCTTGCAAAAAATACTACTCCAGAGGGGTATCTAAGAAATGCAGATAGCGGGTGGACAACGAGTAGCGAGGAGCCGGTGAAGCTACTCCTAGATGCTCGTTTTCCGCTGAATCGCTCTACTAAAGAAGTGCCACTAGGGTAGCTCCAGGTAGGCTGTGCAGCCTTCTTGGACCTGCTGGATGAGAGTCACCTTACCTGGGCGCTGAAATCATTCAAGCCCTTCAAGTCCCCGGGTCTTTATGGCTCCCATCTACGCGAACTGTGTTAGATTGGGCCATGTCCCGAAGCCCTGGAGAGAGGTTAAGGTTACGTTTATTCCGAATGCCGGTGAAAGCTCTTATGTCGGTGCAAAAGATTTCAGACCCATCAGCCTATCCTCGTTTCTATTGAACACGCTGGAGAGACTTATGGATCTGTACATGAGGAACAGAATACCGAGGGGTAAACTGTTACGGGCGCAGCATGCCTATATCAAGGGCAGGTCGGTCAAAACTGCTTTGCACAATGTAGTGTCATGGCTGG